CATCGTTCTTTTTCTCCAAAAGACTCTTCACTGATGGTCATTTTCTAAGTTGACATAAAAAGATGTGATTTTCTCGAGACAAGCCCTGCTCTCTGCTGAGGGTGTTCTCCCCCCTCTGGAATTTGCAGATCCATTAACCAGCAGTACACCTGCCCTTGTTCACTCAGTAAAGGATCCAAGAGCTGTGCACTGGTCGTAAGCAAGACCCCCCAGGGTAGAGGGCTGGCAGGACAGAAAAGGCTGCCAAGCTATTGGGGAATGCAGAACCCAACTTACTTTTTTCCACAAACCTTTATTCTGTACAGCTTTTGAGCCAAACAGTGAGGAGTCCAAAGGTGACAGTTACATTCCCTACCCCACGAGTCCTCACACACACATCTCTTCTTCCCACGTCTTGAACAAAAAGCTGATGTGGTATTAACTCTCAGTCCTGCTGCTCTGTGTCCTGTTCAAGTGGTCAAAGCTTCTTTGGAGCATGGAAAGGGAAGTCTTCAGCTGTGAAGACACAACCATCACCAGCCCCCCAATTACTTAAGTTAATCTCCTGCATGGGTGAGTGGTATCAGGAAAATAATGTCTCCCTACTCTTCCCCCCTCCCCCCTGCCCAAGATTTCATGTGATTTCCTCCTCCCTGTTTCCATAAACAGTTGACTTACTGTGCTCTCCTAACAGCTATATCCTGTACAGTTTATAAATAGTACCAGTCCAGGATGATAAAGTCTTAACACCTCACCAGACAACACTGCAGAAGATAAGCCACCCCACTCAGTTTTAGTCACAGATAATGTTCATAGCAAATACTAAGGAACATGGCAGCAAAATATGAATTTTCTTTTAATACCTGGCCCTCCTAGTGCATTCTGGTGCACAAAATGTGTTTAGATTATTGACAACACTCAAAAAACACAAAGTAACAGGCACTGTGTCAGAACTTCCAGGCAAAAAGTGTTATTTGGGATGAAAAAAGTGGTGAAATTCTCACTACCTTTTTTTTTTTTACACTGTGTGTTCAAAAGGCACTTAACACTTCAAAATTAGGAATTGTTTGGATAGTAAGCAGAGAAAATGAAAAGGGCATGGAAACCATGCTGTGATCAAAGTGGTTAATTAATAGATTAACAGCAATACTGTGTGCAGAGGCACCTGTAAATAAGGAATATAAAAATGGTTTCTTTTTCTACCCACTCTTAATGCATACAAGAACACAGAGCAAACCAGTGATGGACAGAGGTACATGTGAACTCCCCTCACAGTTTTCCTAATATTACATCACATTTTAAGGTTTAATAAAGGAACTTCAAATCAGAACATTTGTGAGTTGCAAGTTAAACTAAAGCATGAATTACTGTCCCTCACTTACTGAGTTGAAACTTCAGCCAGGGATTTACCAGTCATAGACTTCAGGATCAGAGAGACAACAGCATTCAGCAAGTTACTGTAAAGAAGGATTAATTCTATAGCTATGGAGCCTCTCAGAAACATATGGTCTGCAGTTATTTATTTTTTACTGGAGATGAGGTGGCCCACTGACACCAAAGCTAAGTGAAGCTCTAGCCAATATCTAGAAGAGTAGTGGGGAGCAAAGGCCAGGATAAACCTGAACAAAGACACCCCATAAAGAGGTGGGAAAATATTTAAGACGTCTTAACATGAGTCCTAGAAAGCAAAGTGTTTTGAAACACTCCCGTCTTTGCTTTGTCATGATTCAGAACTGCATCAACACCTCTCATCAAGTTTTGACAAGTTTTAAGGAAATTGACGTGAATACTTATATCTTAGTCAGAAAAAAAAACAAACAAAAAAACCACAAAAAAACCAACCAACCAACCAAAAAAAACCACCAAACCAAAACCAAACCAATCCAAAACATCAGAAACATAAGCACTGCCTACTTACTAAATTCAAACCTAGGGCAAAACAGATCAAAGAATCACGAAAACTTTAGTTAGTACCAGAAGACATCAAACAAAAGGTATGATAACATATGGGAGAAAACTTGAGTTGTTGAGAAACAAGAACATCACCAGAGAAAGACTGTCAGACCTACCTGCTCAAGCATTTCAATTGAGTCTCTTAAGACTCCCTTTACGTGTTTAACCTGTTCCTTATCATACTGAGGGATCTCTTCTTTTGATACCATTTCTGGAGATATGCTGAAAAAGATTGAGATTACATCAGAAACATGAAACAAGCACCCTGACACCTTTTTAAAAACAACTGCTCTCTGCCACCCTTGCTCTGCCATTACTAAAACTTTTACAAGAGGCACAGAAAAAGCTGCCTGCAGTTGAATTCCAATCCTTGCTACCTCCAAGATACTGCTTCAGACCTTTGTAGACAACAGCCACTAAGAAAAAAAACGTGCTCACATTACATCTACAACAAGTTCTCACACTTCAGTGAGCAAAATCTTTCTTATAAATAAAGTTGTTCTAATCAGTTCTGAGATAGTCATTAGAGGAGGTCACCACACCATTTCCAGACTCAACATCAGGTTATGGTTTTTAACTTATTTATTGATACCGTATTCAAGAGAGGAAGCAACATCTTTGCCAGGAAACTCACAGAAAGAAGCTAACAAGTTAAATGAATCTTTAACATTACATTTGAGATCATGCTGGTTCACACAGAATGAACACTTCGGTTCTGTGATATTCACAGAAGATGAGTCACAGCAGGGTGATAAATGCGAACTAAGGTTAACGTTCCCCAAAAACCAGCTTGTCAAAGGAGAAACTTGTTACTGCAAGATGCAGTCAGACATGTCCCTGGATCTCAACACAGACCACAGAAGTGCAGCAAGCCCCAGCAACTTATGAAAACTTGCCACTGAGTTTCACTGTTTAGAATTTATTTCTTTGGATCAGATTCTCACATAAGCTGAGGAAGAAAGCAAGCAAAGACTGTGAATTCAACTTACTTCAAAGAGCTTTCTTCCTGAAGCTGGACATGATAGAGGGACTGAGCTGCATGCTCTATCTTTGACAGTTTGAGAAACAGTGTTATATTCAGCAAGACCAAGAGCAGCAAACTGTAGAGAGAACAAAAAAATCAAGTCCCGTAAGAATTTTGGTTGCAATGCTAGAAAAACAAGATCTAGGCTAAAAACAGCTAAGGAAACAATCATTCTGGGAGAAAAAAAGGTGTGGGGCAGAACTACACTGAAAATAGAGATCTATCCAATTTTTAGCAGTTAGCGTTAAGCTGTGAAATAGGAACAAACAGAAAGAGCAATAGTATCTCCTCTAGGAACTTTTAAAACTAGGAATTAGTAAATTCTAGACTTTTTTTTTTAATAGGATCAGACCTAAGAAAATCTGTAAGGTAGAGCAGTTTGGCAAATCAGCATTTTCATTCCAAGTGTCATTTCTAAGTCAGTTCACTCCCCTCCTATACCCAACCCGTGTTCCACTCATTTGTTAAATTAGGTTAAGATCTATTATGCTACATGCAATGTTAACATGGAAAAGAGGAACAGACAAAAACAGATAAAAGACTAAGATGAGCTTGAGTCAAGCCACATTTTAATGCAAGTGAGTACTTACAAGACACTCATTACTACAATGATGGTGGTGGTCCTACTTACTGCATCTCTTTTCCTTCCTATAGGGCATGGAAGAGAAGGAGGTTAAAAAGTACTGAAGAACATTCCTAAAGGATGCCTGCAGATATATGTCAGTGCCCAACACTTCACAGAGAATAGCTCAACAGCTTCTGATGGAAAAAAATAACAGATCATGTGGGTGCACAGGATCATCTCCAACATTCACCAAGGCATTTTTGCAGTCATCTCCAACAAGTCAAGCTGAACAGTCAGGCTCTCCCATCAGAATTCCCCCTATCCCAGTATGCTGCAGACAACACAGCACTGCGGCATGGTACCACTAAACACAGACAGCCTGAGAAGGCTACAGTCCATCCATTACTAACATGCCTTCACCATATATACTGCTGGTCACACATGAGCAAGAGACAGGCTGCAAAGTGGCTCTTTACTGCTTGTTCTCATGCTCACATTAATCTTTCTGAACACCAGTGCCAATCAAGTTATCCTGTGACTTGTCCCATCATTACTGTCTTGGTTTATCTATTGTCCTGAAGACAGCCTTTCAAAAGACTATCTGCTATTCATCAGGCAACAGGGACCAGGCACTGTGAGGGAGAGGAAGTGTGCATGCCCTCTCCAAACTGAGCAGCAATCACCTACCACGGTGGGCAGGCTGATCTTTAAATGTAATTACAGTTTCATACATTCACACCTCCTGCCTTGGACAAAGGACATACACAAAAGTTGTAGTGTATACAGAGACAGACACACTCATCTGAAAAGATGGAGCAGCAGTAGCAAAATTAAGTAATCAAGAAGTAATTTCAGACAGGTAAACAGTCCTTTACACATGCTGCTGATTCAAATATTCTCTCAGTGCTATACTCAAGTGTTGCCTCTCCCTTCAGAGAAGTGCAGTTGCTCCTACTTCAGTGTTTACAATTCAACTTCTGTCATGGAATCCACCATTCTCTGGTACACATTAATGTACAGATGTTTCTGATCTCTCTAGATATAGCTAATACTGTATGTGTTAGTGGCCAAGT